CTGGGCAGTCCTTTCTAGCCTACCACACAGACACGAGGAGCCCTAAAGAGATCAGCTGCTTGGGGGTCGCTTCAAATTACTCATTTCCAAGGAAAGTCTTGTTGGAAGCTCTCAGCGATGGCTGCAGTAGGTCTTGGCTTTCCCCGGCTCTAGCCGTCTGTCTGTCTGTGCCATGACTTCCCCCACCCCTCTGCCCTTTGTGACAGCCCCATAGCTCACTAGTTAACGTACCAGGCAGTCACTGAGTGCCTGCTCTCTGCCAGGCCCTGTGCTCTATAAAGATAAAGAGAGCAGTTCCTGCTTTAGAGGGCTTACGATCTAGTAGGCAGAGCTGAATGTCAAAAACAAATGCAACACAGGGTTTTACGTGCTGTAATTGTGAGAGCTCAGAGGAGGATGTTCTTGGCACTGAGCACTAAATGGTGTAACTCAGCCAAGATGCCTTCTCTAGGGCCAGCTTCCTGGAAGAAGCAGCCCGGAGTCGATAAAACAGCTTAGGTTTGTGTACTGTGCAGGACTGCCATGAGTAGTGGCCAGGTTTTCCTGCAGAAGGTGTCCGCTGAGGGGGCGTGGAGGCTGGGATCCGGCCGCTTTGCTCGCTAGTGCTGTGCACCCAGGCAAGGGGCTGTGTCTGCCCAGAGGAGGGGAGTGACTTTCTAACGCAGACAGAGGTGTCATCTGGGCTGGCACTGGCTTTGCTAACCACTTTAGAGCTATAAAGCTTCTACACATGGTATCTCATTTGATGCTTTGAGCAACCACGGGCATTATGGCAAAGGATGGGCATCCTGTGGCCCAGAGAAGTTCAGTGACTTGCCGAGGGTCACAAGGCAAGTAAGTGACAGAGCCAGGATGTCCGTGCTTCATTCCCCCAGCCCTCGTGTTGTTCTGTCAGGCGTGGAAGAGGGCAGAGTGCTCGGACGCTGCCGACCCCCTCGCCCTGCTGCACAGCTCGCTGCAGCTAATGAATTGCTAATACAATTTTCTAGATAATTTTATTTTCCTAGTCCCACATTTTAATGTGTTTCCAAAAGCTAGCATTTATTTGCTTAATCTCCCAGTGTAATAGAATCTACCCTGACTTATCATACATGCAGACAATCAGCTAGGCAGAAACTATAGCAAATTGTTTAATGGCTCAGATCTAGTCTTGAAATTTTTAACTTGTGTGTGCACCAATAGCTTTTCCTGTGTCTCATCCACTTCTCTCCTGCCCTTCCTTGTTGCTTTTTAAAAAGTTTTTATTTTGTTTATTTTTAGATAGAGGGGAAGGGATGGAGGAAGAGAAGGAGAGAAACATCAGTGTATGGTTGCTTCTCGCACACCCCCCACTGGGGACCTGGCCTGCAACCCAGGCATGTGCCATCCCTCAATCCACTGAGCTATACCAGCCAGGGCCCTTCTTTCTATTTAAAATCTTTTTCCATTCCCTCATCTGTTGGTGTTCAAACACAAGAATAGGGAGCGTGGGTGTGGGGCCTCAGAGCCCCCTTGCCTTCATCTCTGAGCCTGCGTCCGTGTCCTGGGGGCCAGAGAGAGCCCCTGATTGAGGCTTGTTGGAGGTCCCAGGAAAAGGAGAGAGCTCATGGGAGGGACCTTGTTCCATTGTCTGTCTAGGTGGCAGCTATATCATGTTAAACCTGTCACTGAGGTGCAGATTTAGCTGCCTGGGACTTCAGGTGCAGGGTGCTTCCCATCTCAGGCCCAGACCTCAGGTGCTGTCACACCACCTTCCTGGATTTCATTCTTTGACTCTTCCTGTCCTTGCAGCCCCTATCCTAGTCTGGTTCCCACCCTCCTCTAGCGCTAGCACAAAAGCCATCAGCTCTCTTTCTGCTTCTGGCCACTTAGCCCACGCTGCCCCCAGGGTAACTGCCCTCACATACCACTAGGATCACGTCAGCACCCTCATCCCTTTGTGGCGCTGCGTTGCCTATCAGATGAGGAGTAATCTGTCCCACCTGGCAACACAGCCCTCTGTGATCTGACCCCCAATAACCTTCCCTGCTCATCTCTACCCTCAGAGCGGGTCCTCTGTCCCTGGCCCCTGAAATTTGCTTACGATGGTGTTTCCTTAGCTTGGCTTCTGTGCCTCACCTTCCAGTCCTCGCTTCTCAGTACTCTTCATTTTTCAAAGCCATTGAGAAAAATCTCTCAGAGTCTGCTCCAAAGCCTCTTGAAGTCATCCTGTCTTGCCCTCTGCTTGGTTGTTGACTTGATGTCTCCCAATAGTCTGGGACTCCGCTTCTCCAGTGGATCACAGCATATACTTTGACACCTAGCACGGTGTCTACGCTTGGTAATACTCGTTGAGTCAGCTGAATGGACCTGAAGTGGGTTCAGGCCATCCAGAGAAGGATGGATGGCATAGGGGGCAGCTTCCAGGGGCCATGGGAAGGTTGAGTGGGCCAAGTGCTGCCGGAATCTCAGTCTGTTCTGCTAGGTGGCAGCAATCCTCAGAGCTCCTCCGGGCCTGGCTTTTTAGACCCAGGGTACTCTGTGGGAATGCCATTCATGTTCCCTCTGACCCAGGCTCCTTCCCCCCTGGGAATTTCAGGGGATGCATGAGGAGAAACTTGGCCATGCCTTACCCTGGAGGCCTGGTCCATCTTACCAATTTAGAGCAACTGTTTGACATCTGGCTTAATCAGGGTTCTCTGTGGGGTGATGATAGGGGCACAAAGGAGGCTAGTGCTGGGGGTCCTCAAAATGAAGCAGCCAGGGCTGCTGTGTCACAGAACATGTGGCAGATGGACTCCACTCCTTGGTATAATGGCCAGAATGGGCTGGACTTGGGGGACTCATGATCAGCCGTTGGTCTGCTTCTGCCTGGATGGACCACTCCCTTTGGTGTGCCCTTCGATCAAATGGAGCTGGATGCCCTAACACCTCCCCAAGATCTTGCTGACTGCCAGGGATTTGGAAGCCTGCAAAGAGCCTGCCTGGGATTCTGCTGCCAGTCTACTTCTCCAGCCCAGGCTGTCTAAGCATTGCTGGAGGGAGCCCTGGATGCACTGGAGCTCCTGAACCAGCCGCGTTTGGAGCTGGCTTGCTTGTCGTGTTACTTTGCTTTTCCAGGGGAAGCACAGGCAGATGGATGGCAGACCCAGAGGTAGACATGGGCCCAGCCCTGTGGTTTCTGACAGTAGACTTATGTCTTTTTAGACTTCAACACTGCCTTTCTTACTGTGGGACCTTATGGAAGTGATTTAAGCTCTCTGTTTGCCCATTTGTAAAAAGAGGAGTGAGAATGCCTGCCTTGGAGAGAGTTTGACGTGAGAGGACAGCACAGATAAAGCACCTAGCACAATACCTGCGTCAGTTCCCTTCCCTTCTGCTCTTTGAGGCCAGGAATAAAAGTGTGTCCTTTCTTGTATGGTCTCCCTGCTCAGCCTTCCCTGGCCCAGGATGCAGGCAGCGTGGACTGAGCATGGCTACAGGTGCCTAGTCTTCTGAGTATCTACACAGGTGGCTGTGAGGGCTGGAGGGAAAGGGGGGAGTGAGAGGTCTTGCCTTCCCGTTGATTCATCCCCAAACCAGCCGTGAATGGGACTGAGGTGGGGAGAACAGACTCCCACTTGCTGTCTCCATGGGTGGACCAGGGAGGCAGCAGGCAGGCTGTTCATGCAGTCCTTCTCCTCACCCCACTTCCTACCCGGACTCCCTGATTCCACATGTCCCTCCCCCCTCTCTGGGTTGGGTCGACAGATGTCACGCCTGCCTACCTTTCCGACTTGTGTTCCTCCCACAGGGCTGAGCACAGGTGATGCAGCCCAGATGCCAGCAAAGAGAGTTGAGCAGACGGGCTTCCTAGGGCAGCCGACGTGCTCTGGAAAAAATCCAGAGCATCAGGTGTAGGTGCTTCCTCACGTGGTACAGTACCCAGAAAGCCCAGGGCTCCAGAGCAGCGTCGGACAGAGGGGCTCACTAATGGGAAAGGGTAGCCTGTCTTTGGAGGGTGCGTGGGGTACCCACCTAACCGCCTGTGCTTCAGATCAGCACAGGCGATGACTGGACTGAATTAAACAGAAATCTCATGTCACCCAGCTGAAATTGTTTTGAAAATTGCCCTTTGGTCTCGGAATGAAACCTAAATCCCTTACTATGGTTTTAAGACCCTACACGACCTGGCCCTGTCTACTTCTTCGGCTTTCCCGTCCGTGCTGTCCCTGCGGCCCAAGCCGCACTGTTCTCTCTGATCCTCTGACCGGCCACGTTTCTCTGCTGCCCGAGTGTTCACAGCTATTGTTTCCTCCTCCAGGAACACTCTCGTCCACTCACCCAGTGCTGGGTGACATCTGTGACGAGAGCAGGGTCCTACTTGTAGAAGGTACTAAAATAATATTTGTTGGTTGAACGGACCCTTAAGATGTGTATTTCATTAATGGAGAAGTGCTTAAAAGAATAGGGCCTGATAGAACTTCTGTGAGGAGGGGACGCGCATCCAGGCTGCTGGGGTGTGTATCCCAGCTCTGCTGCTATGGAACTCCATGGAACTTTGGACGAGTTGCTCGGTCCTTCTGTGCCTGCATTTCCTTATCCGAAGGGTAAGGATGTAGAGTTAGTTACATTCAAACAGTAGCTGGCAGATGTTATCTCCGTTATTGTTATTCCTCACAGAGGCCACACTGACGGCCCACCTTCTGCCCCAGACTCCGAAAAGTCCGTCTGATATATGCCATTTTAGAGCCGTGCCTTCGACAGAGCACCCATATAATTGCTACGTCACATCTGCTGCTGTGGTGTGTTGGATGAATGCCCCTCTTTCTCCTACTAGACTTTAGGCTCCATAGTGCAGGAAGTGAGTTCACTGTGTCCACCTCTGGATCGTATACTAGGTGCTCCATCAGCATTGCATGTCTCGGGCTGCCTCTGGGTTGGCCCCTGAGCGCAGGAGCTCGGGGGCACGGCTTGGTGCTGGCTCTTGCTCCAGCCTGAGTGGGTAAAGAGTGGCCCTGCACGCCAGCTGCCTGAGGTCTCCCTGTTCCTGTCTCCCACAGGCACAGACATGGCTGTCTTCTGTCTGCTGTGCGGGAAGCGTTTCCAGGCGCAGAGTGCGCTCCAGCAGCACATGGAGGTCCACGCAGGTGTGCGCAGCTACATCTGCAGCGAGTGCAACCGCACCTTCCCCAGCCACACTGCCCTCAAGCGCCACCTGCGCTCACACACAGGTAGGCCGGCCAGATGATGGGTGGATCAGGCTGTTTGGGAACCAGCATCTGGATTTACTTCCAAGAACAGGAGGTGCTGCCCAAAATTAGCCTTTAGCCCTTCTTACTCAAGGTTAGGCTGGGTTGGGGGGGTTCCTCGGGCCGGTAGATGCTGGTAGTTCTCCCCATCTCACTGTGTGGCACTCGTGTGCCCCATCCTTCTGTGCTCAGCAGAGAGGGTACTTGTGAGGAATGTGGCCTTGGGCCCCACCTCGGAAACCCTGGTACTGTATATGGGGTGGGGAGCAACACTCCAACATTGTTCATAGATATTCCCAAAGAGTTCTGAGGGCAGTGGACCCCAATCTCATTTTGAGAAAAACCAACCTGCTTGGTCTCCAATTCTCTCTGCCACATACCCTCACCCTTTCCCTGGCCCCATCTCATGGACCCACAGTCCCAAGGTCAGTCTCCAGCTCTTAAGGGAGCATTGCAGAAGTGGTCCTAATTGCTTCACAATAACGGAAGCACATTTTCTGTACTGGGGACTTAGCCTTGTTTTGGAGAGTAAACGATAAGCCGTGAAATATCTTCCCTTAGCCAGTTTCAAGTAATGGGGGAGGAGAGGGTCTGTGAGTCAAGGAGGCTGGACCAGGTGCCAGCACACCACCCTCCGGGTTTCAGGGATGGGACACGTGGCTTTCGAGGGCCAAGAGGCATTTCTTCTTGCAACTGCCCCTTGCCCCGCAGTAAGGGAATGGACGGCTTAAATTCTGTCCTCTTGTCTGAGACAAAAGTGGGGCCTTGTCGACAGTGTGTGGATAGAGGACTACCCACTCTGCATGTCTGTCTGCGGTGTGTTCTGTCCTGGGTTTGGGGTCAGAGTCAGGGATGGGGCGGGGCCGGGGAGACAGACAGGCAGACTCTGTGTCTGGGTTTGTGACAGGATGTATACTCGTGTCTGTCAGAGAGGGCACAAAAAACCGTGTAGACAGGAACGGGTGGGTGAGCACTTTCCCTCCTCATTCTTGAATCTTGTCACAGCTCGGGGATTAAATAGGCAGGCCAGGCCTTTCCTGGTTGACTCTGCTGAACGAGGGGGAGGCTTCTCTGCCGGGGTCTCAGTGGGCCTGTCCTGCGAGCACTGGACACCCCCACCAAGGAGCCTGCCTGGGCTCTGCCTTCTGGCTGCCGCTCTGCTCAGGGGAGCGTACTGTCTCGGCATCACCAGTTTTGCTGAGAACAATTTAGAATTGCTGGCGTAGGACGGGGAGGTCCCACAGGGCAGGGCCTGACCAAAAGGGCTAAGGAAGAAGGAATGCTGACAAGGACTTCCTCTGCAATGCCTCATAAGCATCCCTAGAAGGTATATGCACCTTCCCGTCAACACCTCCCCCACTCTGTCCCCAAGTTCAGCCTTACCAAATGCCAGTCACCTTCAGTAACTTCTGAGGACACTCTGGATCAAATCTCTTGGCTTCACGGGACTTGAATGGCTCCAGCCCTGCTAAGTCTACCCAAGGTGTGCCCTGCTCTGCCCAGGCCACCTTCAAAGAGCTCAGCTATCAAAATGCCACATACTTCTGTGTCAGTCATGGCTCAGATCTGTGGGAAGGGAGACGTAGTGTGGGAGAAGCACTTGCTTAATCTAGGAAACGTGGAACGTGTGCCCTGCCTGTGCTTACACACACACCTATAGATTTCCACACCAGTGAGCCTTTGTACACACAAGCCATATGCGGCTGAGCTCCCCCCACACAATGCCTCATTAATATTCCGTTGTTCTTGGCCCATGTGCTGCTGGGGCCTGGTGTTTAGCATGGGCAGCTGTGTTTGGTAAGTTAGTCCAGCCGTGCTCTTGGCATTGATGGATCCCTGATTCACACGGCTCATCGTATAATAAACTCTCAGCTGTGCTGCATGGAGGGGCATGAGTTGCCAGTGGGGATGGAGCTGGCGTGGGGAGGATGACACTGGGCCTGGCGGGTACCGGGAAACCACGAGGTAAGGACAGACCCCTGTGGTCACAGGTGCACTAGGCAGGCCGGAGGGGGCTCTGAGGAGTCTCGTTTGTCCTGCACTTAATGTCAAGCTCATTAAAGAGGCTACAGAGTTAATCAACATACCACAAATTGGATTTTGAGTTGCACAGCCAGTTTTGTGTGCATTATGGCAGTACTGACATGATTAGCTCCCGGGGTGAGGGTTTTGGACCAGGTGCTTGCCATGTTTCCAAAGCTCTATGTGCATGCACACGTGTGCACATGGATTTGCACGTGTGCGTGTGTGTGAGTTTTTCTTTTTTTTCCCTGGGCCGACTCTGGAGGTTTCCTATTTAACCTCATTTAACATGTGATCCACTTTGTAATTAAATTATAAAAATCTAATTAAACAAACCTCTCTGTCTTAACCCTTTGTTTTTTAAACTCTTAGGGCCCTCCCCACCCCCTGGAGGGGAGGGCACAGGCGCTGGTTGCCCCCAGCCGGGCGGCGACTGATGTACATTTTAATTACCAGGTCTGGCTGAAGTCTCCCATGGCCTTACTTTATTTATTTATTTATATCTTAATGAGGATACAGAATCCTTGATTAAAGTCGTAATCATTGCTGATTCAGTAAGGAGGGGTGCTGGATGTCAGACGGGCCGTGTGCTCAGCCATCTGCACAGAGTGGCACGCGGGCGCAGGCACGCATGCACTCGCCTCCCCAGCTACTCGGGGCCGGGGTCTGCACGGGCCTCTCCTCCCCAGGGGCTGGCGGCCAGGGCAGGCAGTCTGCACGGCCCTGGCAGCGAGAGCACAGCAGGTGCTGTGAACCCCAGATCTGCGTGTCGGGGACTCAGAGCAGGGACTCGGCCAGGGCAGTGCCCCACAGACTGGTGAGAGGTGGCTCTGCTCTCGGAGCCTCTTCTTATCTGATCTCTCGGTGGAATTGCTTCTCCCCACCCCTGTGTGCCCTTGGTGCTTCCTGCAAATCTTTCACCCATGAGAGAGCCCGCCAGTGGGCAGACCCCAGAATCCACTCCCCGCAGAGCCTTAAAAACCCTTCAGAGCCATCAGAAGAGATGAGAATTTATGTGGGTGCAGGGGCCTGCCTTCAAGAGGGGGGAGCTTGGGGTAGCGACCTGAGAGAAGAGACTAAAATATCATTTTAAAGAGGAAGTGAAGGCACAGGCATGCGAGTCTATAACGAGAAGGACAATTTATGCCCAGGCACGAGCACAGTTTGACATGGGGATAATGAAAAAACGTAGGTCATTGTGGATGACTTAAACCTTCAGCAGCTGAAGAAAATGTATGAAATGCAGAGGACATTACACGGTTGGCAGCCCCGCACATCTGCAGGGGGACAAGTGAAATACAGTGGGCCATTCTTTACCATAAACTGTGGTTGTTGGAGATGCAGCCCAGAGAAATTGTAATTACAGTGACAAGACGAATCAGCGATATTTAAATATTCATGAACAAAGTCTGGGGTGATCAATCTATCTTTATTGTCTGTGCCTTCACTCCTCTAATAAATAAGTAGCTGAAGTCTTCACCTTTTATCCCACAAAGCCCCCACTTTGGGTACAAAACGAAAAAAGGTTAACCCCCCACACCCCAACCCAACCACGCACCTTCCAGGGACTTTGGAACACACAGCAAGGAGGCTGGTGGGCACAGCTCCCAGGCCGAGGAAGGGCAGTTCTGCCCACATTGCACATGCCCAGCGTCCATGAGTGTCTGCTCTGGGTTGTCCTTGTGTTTCGTGCTGAGGCTGCGGGGATGCACAGAGCTCCCTTTTCATCCTCGAGGCGCTTCCATTTAGAAGCACGGGGGCATGGCAGTAGACACAGTACATGTCAGTTAGCAATCCGAGACCTTTCCAGTGTCCAGGCTCTGGAGCCAGACCAGACTCAGCTCTTTACTTGCTATTTGACCTTAGGGACTATGTTTAAGCATCTCTAAGCATCTTATTTTTCTCATTGGTAAAATGAGAAAAATAGCAGTATCTTTCTTGTAATATTGTTGCAGTGATTACATGATATGATCCGTGTGAAGTTCTTAGTACAGTAGGGAGCACTCAACAAAGATGTGGGCCATTTTAATTAGAAAGTGTCATGAAAATGATACTATTACTGCTAAAAGAAAATGCAGGACTTTTTTTCCTCATTGGGGACAGAGAAGAAAGTGTAACTCATTTTGCCCGAGGAGCTAAAGAGAAGCTTCCAAATGGGGTGATTTTTGAGCTGGGTCTTGAAGGATGACTAGGAGTTCGCTGGGAAGAGACAGAGAAATCGGAGAGAACAGCCGTCTAAAACTGGAACAGGAAAAGAGCGGGAGGCATGTGGGGAGCAATGTTCTTCTGGCTGTTCCCCAGATGGGAGGGGCTTTTGAAAAGTAGGGCTGTCAGGCCAGAGTGGTGTTTGCCCCTGACCAGAGGGGAGAAAGAGATTATCCGAAGTGGCGAGGTGAGGTATTAGAGCCCCCAGGTCTGCTGTCCCTTGCGGGAACCTGCTTTCTGGGGACTGCTGTTCATCGCTAAACCAAATGGGCTTTCTTTTCCTGAGACTGGCCCGGGACCCACGGATGACCGCTGGGCCACAGGAAGGTATGGACATGTGTGGACACGTACTCCCTGTTTATGTTGGGGGAGCTGGGAGAGGCTGGGCGTCCTTATGTCCTTTTTACAGGTGGTGAATGCAGGCAGTCTCGTGCGCCTGGTGCACTGAATGTGCCTTGCTATCCCCTAACGTGGGGGTAGGGGATAAGCAAGGGTCTGAACAAACCCCTTGTCCTCACAGGAGACCACCCGTATGAGTGTGAGTTCTGTGGCAGCTGCTTCCGGGACGAGAGCACACTCAAGAGCCACAAACGCATCCACACGGGCGAGAAACCCTACGAGTGCAATGGCTGTGGCAAGAAGTTCAGCCTGAAGCACCAGCTGGAGACACACTATAGGGTGCATACAGGTACTGAGGGCCAGAGATGACACCTGAGCTGGGTCTGGAACCTGCGTTGGGCGGGGGCGGGTGGGGGGGGACAGATGGTTTCCCAGAGAAGCCCAGGTCTGAACCAAAGAGCAGAATGGGCTCTGTTAAGGCTTTGTATGTTGACTCGAGTGCCACTGGCCCCTTGCAAGGCTGAGGCAGACCTTGCTAATCCATTGAGGCACCCTTTCCATGAGCCCAGACTAGTCCCCCATGCAGCTATACCAATAGTTCACAGATCACGTCTATTTGTGAATCCCGAATTAGGTTTCCTCAATGAGCTGAAAGTGAAGGTCTGGATAATTCTTTACTTGATGGTTAGAGCAAGAATTGGCATTGAGTTAGGTTATGATGAGGGTTACAGTTAGATTCTGAGATCAGAGGATCAGATATATTTAATAAACCTTGTATGTGTATACTGTTTTCCCATTTTCGTGGGACTTCACATTCCTTTTTACATTAAAGAAATGTGAGCTGCTGTCCTCCTGGGAGTCTGAGGACAGAACAAGTGGAAGTAGTCCCCTTACATCCAGAACTGCCAGAGTTGAGGGCAGTGGAACGCCAGAGCTGGGCTGTACCTGCTGTGGAAGCCAATTTTGCACATCTCTTCCCAACTGCAAGTTCAGTAGCATCACCTTGGTTTCTTAACATTGGCCATGGTGGGCATAGTCACAACGTAGCCATGGGCACATGCTACAAATGCAGGCTTTTGGGAGAACCAGTTGTTACACACTTTATCACCAGTACACCACTGATTGGGGAAAGGTAGCTATTCAGAAGGACTTCCTCTGAGGACAAGAGGTAGTGGAATCTGGCAGACTAGGAAGACCCCCTGGAGGAGGGGAGATAGCCGTGCTTTGCAGAGGAGAGGGGACCTCTGCGGGAGGGTCAGAGTGGGCAGGGGGAACAGTAAGCAGAGGCTACGTGTTGTCATAACTCTGCTTTCTTGCATCGGCTTCAAGGAGAGCATGGGATGCTCATTGCTGACCACTAGAGTGACCCACAGGATTCCCCAGAGCCCTGGGCTTCCTTAGCCCCTTGTCGGAGATAGGACCCGGCAGGTGGATCATTAAATGCATTGGCAGTGACTATTGTAAATAGCAGGTCAATAGTTAGATCACTTTGGCTGTTCATTACTTCATTATGTGCTGGGCCTCTGCATGGAGGAGTATTGATAGCAAGATGGCTGGCCAGTTAATTACTGTATTGGAACGAGGCTCCCTCACACCCTCTGCTCAGCTCCAGGGGAATCTGACGGAGGGGAGGTTGGGTAGCAGCCAGCCCGTGGCCGTGCGCGCCCAGGCTTCCTGTCCCTCCCCCATTTTAGCCCCAGGGGGCGGTTGGGTCTAGTACCTCATGTGATGACTAGCAAGCCCCAGACGCAGCCTGTGTGAAGGATGGGGTCACCCCAGTTTCAGCCCATCTGTACTCCCCGCCATCTGTAGCCCTGTTCTCCTGGAAAGGAGGTCTGCTGAAAGGCCATCCCCAAGGAAGCTGTGGGCCCCTGGTGCCCTTTCTAGACCTCCATTTCCTCCCTTCGGAGAGGAAGGGTCTGTGCTCCTGGGAGAGTCAGGAAGAGGAAGGCCGGGGGCTGGAACTGCGCTGCAGACCCACAGCCACCAGCCGCACGTGGCATTTAAATTAATTACAGCGAAATCATATGAAAAGTGTAGTTCCCAGTCACGCTGGCCATAATTCAGGGTACTCAACTGCCATATGTGACTAGCGGCTACCCTACCGGGTGATGGCATCTACCACTGTGGAAAGTGCCACATTAGAACAATCTCCAACAAGCCCACGGGTGGACCGAGGGCCCAGAGCATCACTGTGAAGGCCCTCACAGCCTCTCCCTCTGTCTTCCTTCCACAGGTGAGAAGCCCTTTGAGTGTAAGCTGTGCCACCAGCGGTCCCGGGACTACTCGGCCATGATCAAGCACCTGAGGACGCACAACGGCGCCTCGCCCTACCAGTGCACCATCTGCACAGAGTACTGCCCCAGCCTCTCCTCCATGCAGAAGCACATGAAGGGCCACAAGCCTGAGGAGATCCCACCTGACTGGAGGATAGAGAAGACTTACCTCTACCTGTGCTATGTGTGAAGCCAGGCCGGGCAGGGGCAGAGAAGTGGGAGTGAGAAGAGAAGTTAGAGAAGGATGAAGTCAAGGAAGGATTGTGCACAAAAACAAAAAAACATATATATATATATATATATATATATATATATATATATATGGATAAGGAAAAAAAGAAGAAAAAGGAAACCTGATAAGTGTCGAGCCTTGGATTCTCTGGGGCTCCAGGTGACTTGGAAACCTGGCCACGCCCCTTCCATGGGCCTCCATCCTCCTCTCTGGCTGGGGGTTGACCTGAGTTTTCTGAATAGGGTGGAGGTGGTTTTGTTCAGTTCAGATGGTGGTGTGTGTCTCTCTTCCCTCTACCCAGACCCTCTTTTTACATCCAGAAATGGAGGCTAGGGAGAAGGTGAAGGGTGTTCTGGTCAGAGCCAAACAGTTGCTGCCTGCCATCCTCTGACTCTCAGAAGAAGGAGGTGGGGGAGGGGGGCAGAGGCGGGGACCTGCAGAGGGTGGGGCCGGGCTGACACTCAAAGTGGCAGCCCTTGTTGGCTGGGAGTGCGTCAGAGTGGGAAGGGCTCTTCCCTTCCCAGCACTCTGTTCATCCATTGCGTTGCTCTGCTCTTCCCCATCTGGGTGTCCCCTCGTGGTCTTCCGGAGCCTCATGGCTCTGGCCCCTACCCCAGCTCTTTGTCCCTGCCTCCCCTTGACCCCTGTCCTCCTCCAGCCCTCTAGTCAGGAAGCTGTGTCTGACCCCAGAGTCCCACTCCCACCCTTAGCTTCTGAGAACACAGAACAAATAGAATAGCCCACCCTTGGAAAGCCCTATCCTGAGTGAGATTTCCTGCCAAGCTGCTTTTGCTTTCCACATGGAAAAACCTAACTAAATACATGTGGTCCCACCACACAGACAGACACGAATCCACAGTACCCTGAGTTCGGTTCCCAGGAGAAGGAATCCATGAAAGGGTTCATTGTCCAAGGGGAGGACAGGGGTGTCCTTCTCCAGAGGTGCCTTCCACCTGGAGAAGGGAACACCTGCCCAGGAGTCAGGGCCAAGGTACTGGCTGAGGGAGGGCTCTGCGCAGTCATTCTGGGAACCCTCTGAACCACCCAGACCTGGTGAGCGCAGTGGAAAACCCAGGTGGACAAGGTGGCCCAGAATTCCTGGCTCACAGTGTGCTCCCCCCACTTCACAGGGAGGAGGAAGAGGAAGAGCTGTTGAAAGCGCTTTGGCCTTGTGTTCTTTTCTGTGTCCTCGGTTCCCCTGTTAGCACATTGTACTTGAATTACCTCAGTTTTTTGTGACCTCATGAGCTTTTGTAACCCCTGTATCCCTTTTTCGGTTGGGGGTTGGAGGAATGGGGGGGTGTTCTTTTCTGTTACTTGTGTAAATTAGTAGTTGGTTTAATGCCCACCAGCTGGCCAAGGCCCCCGTGCCAGAGCACTGGGAGGAGCCGTGCTGAAGGAAGGATCAAGGACCGGTGCTCAGGATCTGCGTGTGGGGGCTGGGCCAGCAGCCCTCGGGGGAGGGGCGGTGTGCTGGGGGTCTCTGTCCTCCCCGTTGGCTCAGCCCAGCCCGGCATGAGCTCGTTGTGCCCAGCACCGGTTCAGCCTGCCACACTCTGGACGAGACCCCCTTTCCGACAATTTGCTGGGTCCTTCGGGTCTGGGGGCCTGTGTTGCTCCCATCCTTGTGATTGTGTGGCCCCGCCTCTGTGTGCATTATCGTTACCAAAATTGGTCTGTTTTCCCGGCTGCTGCGCGCTGTGCCAGTCTTGGTTTTGTTGCGTTGGGGTGGGGGTGTTGTTTTTCTGAAAGCTACCTCTTATGTTTGTCCAGTTCTTTTGTCCCCTTTCTGCCTCTGGTTCTGCTGCTCTGCTCCCTTCTCCCCGGTCTCCCCACCCTGATTTTGGGAAAGCATATTTGCAATATTTGTGTTCACTGTGGGAGGGGCCCTCCGTTTCATCTCATGCTTTATTTGTAAAAGTTTTTTTTTTTTTCCTTTCTCTTTCTGAGAAAGTTGTGGCTGCGTTATCTTAGGTTTTAAGAAAGTGGTTTAGGGAAGTGGTTTGGGGAGAGAGGTGGTGAGGAACATGGGGAAGTCAGAGGGATGGGCTCTGCTGTGACTGCCCCCTCCCCCGTCCCTCAGTACCAGCCCTCCTGCCTCCCCTGCAGTCTCACCCACCAAATCTGAAGGCCTTAAAAATTGCGTTGGGGATGTATTATTAACTGGGGGGAGGGGGACTGTGTCGCTAGACTGTCGATTGGGGATGATAAAGTAGAGAGGATGATATTTTGCCATTGTAATAATGACTTAGTGCTTTGGAAAGGAAAAAACAGTTAAACTTGAAATATGTGACTAGAGCAGTTGTTGTGTCTATAATGTGAAAAGAGTGAAATCTTTGGGGGAGGAGCCATCTGTAAGAAATCATTATGCACTATTGCTTCCTCCCCCAACCTGGGAAGGAAGGGGCACTGGCTGGCCCTCAGGGGATCTGTAAATCCCAGAAAATAGTACTTTTACAGCAAGATGTCGTTCAGCTTTGGTGGGGAAGGGGAAGAAAGTCACACTGTTCCATAGACCTCGCTGACACCTCGTGCTGTTCCCTGGCCCTTTCCACGCAGCCCGGTCTCCTCCCCTGTTCATAAAAGCTGAGAGGGTTGAGCTAATCTTTAAAAATTGTACTATTTTTATAACGTTTGTTAATTCCTGCGTCAGTTCTGCAGGAACTTGCCCTTTCCTTTTGTAATGTGAATAGCGAAAAAAAGACAAAAAAAAACCCTACCACCACCACCAAAAAGATATCCCTCTGTGTGTATGTGCGTGTGTGCCATTTGTGTGAGGTTGTGCGTTAAATCATGCAGTATAGTTGTAGTCGGCTGTTGCAGCATTGGATGCTACTAAATCGGCACCTGTCTGTCCCCACCGTCCCTGAGGAAACCCTGACAGGGAGGCAGGAGAGAGGGGCAGGACACATGGTTTGTGGAGAACACTGTGTGGGAGACTTCTCTGTCTGTTTTTCCTTTATTCCTCCCAGCATCCCCATGAAGACTCGGACACCCTGAACAGAGTCCGACATGCCTCTTTTTTAGCTTCCCACTCACAAATACAATCCCCACCTTGCCAAGGCCTTCTCGGCCAGCTCGATGGCCAAGGTGAGAGCCAGAAATTATCTGGAGGCTTTAGATGTGTCTGGATAAAGGGGGCTGAGGAGACTAGGAGGGTAGAGGCTTCTCTCCCCAAAGGTGAGAGAGCTGAGTGGTTTTACTCCCCTCTGCTTTCTGCCAACTGCTGACAACCCTGCTCACTACTGCCTTATCCAGCATCTAAAAATGTCTCCAGTCCATGTCCCTTGATGCTTTTGGTGACATTTACCCCTTACTAATGTGCTTTTCCCCTGTTCACTCCTTCACTCATTCAAAGCATTAAATCCTATGTGTGTATATAGGATAGACAGATATATATATATATATATACATATATATATAGTGAGATATATATATATATATAGGAAGAGAGAGATATAAGATAGAAAGTATCAGTGCTGCTTTGGAGGAGGCCACAGATATGAGGAGAGTAGATCTGGGGTGCAGGGGCGGGTAGGGAGGCTGGGGGACCCCGTGATTCAGTACAATCCAGGGATGCAATGTGGGCTGGTTTAATCTTCGTGCCTGAACAGTTTTCCATGTTTAGGGGGAAAAAACGGAAGAAAATACTGCTGCAATTTTTCACAAGTGTATGGTACCCTTCAGGATGCTATTGGTACAGCCAGCTGCTGGGGGTCAGGGCCTGGGAGGGAGAAGGCCCTTTGGGTTACCTCCTTCCAGGGCAGTGAGCGGTGGTGGGGGTGGTCCCTGGACTCCATCTGTGAGGCATGGCAGGGGGCAGATTTGTGACCACTTCCTTGCAAGCCCCAAAAGAGTGGAAACTGGGGGCACAGGATGTAAGACAGAAAAGCAGGAAAAGATCAGACTGTTGATTCATTTTTCCTGGGCCTGTGTTACATTTTTTTTTCTCTCCTCCCATCTTGTTTCCTCCTTCCTGGAGCTTCCTGGCGGCACTTACCTGGATATTTCAGTGGGAGGTAAAAAAGCCAGACCAGCCCTTCACAGTGAAACTGATGGGTGGAGGGAAAAGGCAGAGCTGGCCAGGAGAGAGGTGGGAGACGGGCCGGGGAGGCTGGGGCATTGGGGGTGGGGACAGGGCAAGAGGTGCACAGGCCGGAGAAGCCGGCAGCCCTGCTGCCTCCCTGAGTCCGTGGTGTCCCACTTGTAGACAGGGTACCTGCCTCCTGGTGCGTGTCCTAGAGTTTGTCCACAAAGTGTTATGCATGATCTTTGTGAGGTGAAGAAGCCGAGGTGGTGCACCCTGACATCGACCCATATATATAAAGATAAATATAAATATATATGTATGTAAATTATAGCACTGAGGGCCTTGCTGCCCTGCTGGACCAAGCAAACTAAGCCTTTTGGTTTGGGTATTATGTTTTGTTTTGTGACTTGTTTTTGTGGCTTGTCGTATGTCGTGACAGCACAAGTGCCAGTCCGATTGCTCTGTATCACAGATAGTGTTTTTAATTAATTGATGTTCTAGTTCATGTCTACCTCAGCACCTCCTCTTAGCCTAATTTTAGGAGGTTGCCCAATTTTGTTTCTTCAATTTTACTGGTTACTTTTTTGTACAAATTCTCTCCCCCCCACCATCCCCTCTCTGTCCTTCTCTCCCTTCCCCCTTCTGTCCTCTCCCCCCTCCTCCCCTCATTTCTGTGTGTTCCATTCTCTCTCTCTCTCTCCCCCTCCCCCCTCCTGCCCTGACACAGCCCGGTGACCCCCAAATTGTGCTTGCCAGTCATATCCGTCCTGGTCCCCAAGCAGCCCCCTCGAAGTTGTGCGGTCCTGGTTGCAGCTTTCCGCATCTGCCTTCGTTTCGTGTAGATTGATGCGTTTCTTTGTAATTTCAGTGTTCTGACAAGATTTAAAAAAAATGAATTTACTGCTGCAGGTTTTTTTCTCTCTCCATGTGTCACTAAGTGAAGTTTGTGCCTTCTATAGCAAAGAGAATATTTTTTACATCCTACTAACAGTAGATTTTTTTGTAGTGAACATTTTTTGTATTTTTATTTATAAGTCTCATAAGAAAAATAGCAATGTTCA